GGTCCTCCTTGGCCGTCCCCTTTGCATCCCCGGCCTCTTGGAGCCGGATCCAGCAGGTTTGGGAGGGCCGGATTGCCCTTGCCATGCAGGATGCCACCAAGGACACCGTCCCCACGGCTGCTGGTGGCTTTGGGGCACACGCGCACTAAGGAGGCACTTTTAAATACAGGTTTATTGGGCGCACCAACAGCAGAGAAGGGGGTTCAGTATACACGGTATACACGGCGCAGCCAGCGCCATCGGCGTCTCCGTCCTTCTGCCGTACCCTTTGCAAAAGAACCGCGCACCGGAGAGCCCTCCGGAAAGCCCAGAAGGGACCCTACGGTCCTGGGAATGTCAACCTGGAAGGGATTTCCCGGGAGGAGAAATCCAGCTCCCGCCGGGCGGGAAGACCTGGCCCCGAGTTTGGAGGGAAGAGGGCAGCAGCAGGGGCAGCGAGCACCATCCCCAGGGCAAAGTCAAGTAGCAGCAACGCGCCGGGCCGGGCGAGTTCACACCCTGCCCTGCACCGGGGTGTAAATGAGCATCGGGCTGCAAATCCGCGGGCCCAGGGGCATCGCTGGTGCCCTGCACCCTCTTCCCGAAGCACCGTTGGAAAATCCCGCCGGGAACAGGGCTGGCCCCCGCTTCCCGAGGTTCCCGTCCAGGGGGAGGTCCGACTTAGGGAGTTGAGCACCATGAAATCTACACCGGTTCGGATCACACGCGCGAGGAGGAGACAGGAATGGAGCCACCGGGGCCGAGGGCTCTCCGCGGCGCGAGCCCCGCGGCCCCAAGGGTTCGACAGTACCGCGGCCACCGTCACATCGGAGGGGGTCCCACTTAGCGCGAGGGTTGGAGGCCGAGGCCTCCTGGGAGGCCGCAGGTTTGTGCAAGACGGGGGCATCCCCCGCGCGTCCTCGGAGATCCGCCCGGCTCCGGCGTCGCTCCGCGCAGGTTGGCGGCTTCGAGGTAGACGGTTGTTCCCGCTCCGAGCAAGGAGGAGGCTGAGGGCAGCTCGGG